TCTATTAACATTTCTCTATCTGGAGAATGGGGCTGTTTGATGTGTGTTCTTCTCATTTCAAAGGGCCCCCTGCCTGTCTTTGCCTAGGGCCCCACATTTGCTAAATCCATCCTGGATATAATCATGAACCTGGAGTTGTGGTTTGATCCTTTTTCTACTTTCAAGCCTCATTTACAGATGGTGACCAAGTCGGTCTTGTACCATCATAAAAAGAGATTTTTTTATTCATGCATCTGTGTCCTCACACATCGCTCTTTTCTCTGATACACCAAGGTAAAGTTTCAGACGTTTGCAGACGGTTCTGAATGTGGCTCATGTTTTAATGAAAGAGCTTCTATCGTTTCATTGGCTGCTTGTTTTTAAAGCTAGTAAAGACGCACTTTCTTACTGTCTTATCTATCAACTTGTACTTTTGTTTTTTATCTGTATCTTTTTAATTTTCTTCATATCTACTTGTACTGATCAGTACTTTGTGTGAAAGTACTTTATAATTCAGTTTTATATTATTATTATACCTCACACTTTGCCATTTTACTGCTCTAAATTTGAGCTTTTCCTGCCTAATAAAAACTGAATTATTCCATCATCGCCCATGAAAGTTTTTACATTGATTATGGCTTTGAATGTTGGTAATTATCTTGTCCTCATTTCAGAAAGTTTCAGAGCCACAAGGCTTTTGACTGGAGATGTTTTCCAACAGATAAAGAACAGATTTTTTAGCGCCAGCTGTTGCATTTGGCTGTAGAGGTGGAGAGTAGGAAGGAGTCCATGCCATGACTCAGTGGAAAGGAAGGTTCAACGACTGGTCTAGTAAGGATACAAACAATCCGAAACATATGACATGGGTGAGGAGAAGGAGAAAAGGAGTCATGGTAAAAAAAATAAAAAAAAATAAGCAGAAGGGAAGAGAAGAGGATGTGGAAATCTAGTGCAAGATAAACCATCACCAGAACCTATAATTAGGGTGAAGCAGCATGTTTAAGCAGGAAAGACATCATTCATGAGAGAAGAACACTCTGTTTAATGTTTCCCTGAATCAGCTCCATAACAAGCCACAGCATCCTGGCCGACGTTCAAATTGGCAGAAGGACCGCTTTAAGGCAAACGCCTGAAACAGAGCGTCGCTCACCGTGGCCGTTGTCAAAGAACTCGGTGATGTAGAGGGCGCTGCAGGGAGACCAAGGTGCTGATATGTTGAGGCTGACAAACAGAGGGGCCATCAGGAAATGCCCTCCCAGGTCCCCAAACAGCTTCTCGCACGTCTTGGAGTCGTCGTGCGGCATGCTCAGCACATGGCCTGCAGGAGGGAGAGAACCAAGGGTAAAAACATGAACATCCAGCGTCTTGTAAGGTGACCAAAACACCTAACATCTCAAAGCTTTTCTACTGCAGACTGTAACTTTTCTCATTTGCCACCAGCAGCCCTAATCAGTGACAGAGTTAAAGCTGACCGAGCTCATGTGCAGCAGTGAAGGCAGCTTGCAGGCCGTTGTCCTCGATAACCGAGCAGCTCCTCTTGGGATCACACATCGTCCCGACATCTGCCACACCCAGAGTGTCGCAGCTCTTTTGTCCACAGATGTCCTGCAACGATAAAACAGGAAGGTTTAGATCCCGTCTGAGGGGAAAGTAACTAAGATAATTGGTCCAACTGGGATCATTTTTACTGCCACATTTTCCTAAACAGCTGTGGTGTTAAAAATAACTGCATGCTCTAGCTTTGACATTCACCATTTCCTCTGAAACTTTGAGTTCCAACATCTTACAGACGTTTATCCATTCCCTATAACTACTCAAAGGTCAGTCCTTTTCTCTAAAAACGCCTCAGAAAACCTCTCTAAATCAAAATCCGTGGTAGATTTGGAGCCCTTTGGACTATAAATTCAGATTTACTAAAAGTGGAAGTGCTAAAGAGCTGCGGCCTTACGTATACAAACACAAAAATAGATTTTATTCAAGCCATGCTCTCTGGAAGACGAGGGCTGCGACAGCTGTTGTTGGCAGTAATTGGCTAAGTGACACAATAAAACAGAGGTCCTTGGTCGTGATCATTTACATTTGTAAAAGTAAATCAACAGCTGCAAACATTAGATTATTCCAAGCATTTTGCAGAGAGACTGTGTAAAGAATCCAATGGATAAGGTGGAGAAAACGGCCATAACCGCTAAATGCTGCATGTAGACACACTAGAGATGTCTCGATCCAGGTTTTTGCACTTCCGAACCGATACCGATATTGTTTTTGGACTTCCGATCC